TATTATTATTATCATTATTATTATTATCATTATTATTATTATCATTATTATCATTGTTATTATCATTATTATCATTATTATTATTATCATTATTAATATTATCATTAATACGAGTAGTTTGGACATTCGTTATATTTTATTATTGGCGCATCGTATTACTGCGCTTCGCACCGTTCACCACTTACGCGCACAACACTTCAGCTATTTCAAATTTTCCGATGCGTCACAGTGAAGACAGTCCCCTCGAATTGTGGCAAATACGTAGCAGTGCAATTAGCTGGAATTCGTTTGTCATAGAAAACTAACTAAAAATGAGCGCTGGGCAGTACGAGGGTTGCCTTTTATATTGCAGGATTAGAGAACAAAAACAAATATTAATCATCGAAAATCACTTTATTGCTTTTCAAAATATTCCCCATGAAGATCTATACACTTTTACATGCGTTTGAACCAATTGTCGAAGCATTTTTGCCACTCTGATTGAGGTATCTCCAAAACATGCATTCTGAATGCAGCAACCGCTTCTTCAGGTGTCGAAAAACGTTGACCTCTCAGTTTGTTTTTTACGTGCGGGAATAAAAAGAAGTCCTTCGGTGTCAAGTCAGAACTATACGGCGGATGACTCCTCAAATCGATGTTTTGGGTGCTCAAAAATGCAGTTGTTTGAGCCGATGTGTGAGAGCTCGCATTGTCGTGGTGAAGAGCGGTTGGTTTTCCTGATTTCTTGGAAGACAGCTGGCAAACAAATCGTTGTGTACCACTCATAATTGACTGTTCTGCGTTGTTCTAGTGGTACGGTTGTGAACTGTCCAGTTTTTCCGAAAAAACACGCGACCATCTGTTTGGAAGTGCTTCGTGCGCGAACAACTTTTGTTGGATTTTGCTCATCTTGAAACACCTATACAGTCGAGTGCTGTTTACTTTCATACGCGTAAATCCACGCTTGTTTTGGGGTGACTTTGATACCCTAAATTGAAGATCATTAAAACGCGTGTTCTAGTTATACTAGTGTCAGTTTCAATCCTCTTTGAAATCCTCTCCCTTCAATCCTCACAGTTTTCTTTGTATTTAGTCTGCAATATAGGGAATGACTATGGTAGACACATCTCCACAACCATTCAATTTGTAAGTCATTATTCCGTGATTTTCTTGCGTTTCTTCTGTGAAAAGAGAAGATTCACTTTTCCACAAGCTTGAATATCTGATGAGTGGTATCTACACTCCAATTATTCTATATTCCACCCACTCAGTATTTTGCGAATCACAACGACGTATCTGTAGGTTGTGCATTTCCGCTTTCCTGACACTACTTTCACCAAGACTCACTACACTCTCGACTTTAATAAAATGAAAACATCCGAGCCTCACTTTGGAATCGAATCAGCGACATTATGTTTGAACTATTTTATAGGCATTAACACACTGCCCTACCTGAGTTCGGCGGTGGTGATATTTCTAGCGTAAAGAGTATCATAATTCTGCTTGGCTTTGATCATCAGATCATATACACCTCTTCACATCATGGAAACAAGTAATCCATATCGCAGTTATTCTTTGGGTTATTAATCACATTTTGCAGTTCGTAGTATATAGGCTCCGATCAGCAATATAATGTACATAGAGGGAACCTAAAACGTGTATAACAGTTCTTGGAGACCATGAATGCGAGTACGTTGATTGATAGCCGTATTCTTGTATTTTTCGTTTCATTTACATATTCGTAATCTGTCTCGGGTCCGCCCACTCCAATAACTCACGTCCGAAGACGGACAATCGATATCCCCGGGGCCAACTTCAGTTCGTTGTTTCCGGACGATTTCGTCGGGGTCTTGTGATCCCTTGGCATTAAAATGGCTTTCTTGATAGCAGAATGCACCTGCGAAGGTAGTCAAGTAATAATTTGCTTAATGAAATAGCACCTGAGAATGAGGGCATTTTGCGGCGTCGTAAGAGCGTCTAGCCGGCGCATCGCGCTGGGGACCCGTCGCCTGGGGCGACGCACCCGACGCCGGTGGCGCCGACTAGCCCCCGAAACGCGCGGCGCGTACGTGTCGCGAGCAACGCCGGCGGCGCCTGCCGCATCGTCAACCCTTCGCGCACGACGCGCGCGCTACCATCTGTCGGTCGCCGACGGAACTTCAGTTTTGTTGACGTTGCTTGCCGCCCAGCAGCGCCACCGCTCGTGAAGTTGGTCCCCGCCCTCGCAGTTGTCAGACGCGCGGATTCAAAGGTGGATGAACTAGGGCGCGAAGTGGACAGTCTTGCTCCGCGGGATGGAGGGGGAGATTTAATTTTAAATAAAAACTAAACTTTGATGAAAACTATCTAATATGAAAATGTTCACATTGCACTTTCACTCATTAGTCTTACATATTTATGTTTTTTTTACGTGAAATACATGAATAAATTAAATAAATTTTACGAATTAGCATCACATATAACTCACCGGGTAAATTTCTATCCTTATTAGTTTTCTCTCCGACGTGAAGTACTACATTCAACTATAATTAATATTTAATAATTTCAACAGATGTGTGTAGTCAAATAAAATTATCCGCTACTTCCGGCAAGCACGAGTAACTTTTGGATGTTTTTAAGTATTACAGATCTTGCTAGGGTGATTTCATTTTGAATGTTGCATACGAATCTAGATATTGCCCAAAACAATAAAATTTTATAAATATAAAATTAGTTGGTATTGAAAAATTATATATATATATTAAAAAATATTAAAAGTTAGTGGTAAGTGACTTTCATAGAACGATTCGATGGTTCCTTGGATCATGTCTATTTGTGGCTTCTTGTCTGAACTATTTTTATATTTCCAGAAAACTATTTCCGAATACTTCGATATTTTCAGTCGCCGAAAGATCCAGAAGGATTTCATTCAATCCTAATGTTCCATTGCATGGGGAATATGTTACAGTCCATGCGTTGATTGTTAGGATTTATGGAGCTTTGAAATAAATGAGAGATGAGTCGCATTGCGCAGCTTCGGCCTCAGCCCGCTAAATGCCGTAAATATATTAAACATATGGGGTGGCGTGCATCGGGCGCATCGGGCGCTAGACGGGGTTCCCTTCCAGGCGGGAAAGACGCCTTCGGACCGGGGCCCCGAGAGGCCGCTGATGGGCGAGCAATCCCGTGCGCCCCGCTGGGCGGCACGCGCGCCGTTGACAGCATTAGGATTACATGGCTTTGGAGGTAAATGCCTTATTTATTTACTCAGATAACGCATTCTTCTTCTCTCCTCTCCTCTCCTCTCTCCTCTCCTCTCCTCTCCTCTCCTCTCCTCTCCTCTCCTCTCCTCTCCTCCCTCCCTTCTCCTCTTTTCTTCTTCTTTTCTTCTTCCCTAGATGTATAGCCCTTGTGGGCGTGGGCTTCACGTACAACAGCTTTCCATATTCTTCGTCCTTCTCTTTCCTCTTCCATTTTTTTCACTTCCACGAGGTTCAGTCCTGCAATACATCACCTTTGTCATCGTGTTTTGGATGACCTCTTTTTCTCTTTCGAAAAGTGCTTACCGTCCAATACTTTCTTAGGTATTCTGGATTGTGGTATCATTCTGTGTGTCCCAACCATCTAACCCTTGGAGACTTATGGATCTTACATTGTTTCTCTTTTTTGTAGCCTTTCACACATTAAAAACGAAACTATATAGAAGTATACATCAGTTATAAAGTAAACAAAGAACTCCTTTTGCATTCGGTAACCTCGCAGCTACCGCCCGTATCTCCGGCACATATCAGATAATCCCAAGCATGTAACTTTACTATCTTACACGGCTTCTAGAGTTCAGTGGGATATATAGTTATTCAAATTATCGTTACCCATGTTGTTGCGGCAGGAAGTAAATTGCTTTACGAAGAACGCGATACGTTATGAATCCAAATCTATAGCTATTTGCCCTTGAAAATAGATTTTATTACACCGAAGAGGATTTTATTGTGGCCAATAACGCTTATTTCTTTCTGTTGTCAGCATTCAACTTCTATATGGCTTAGGGTAGGAATCCCAGATTAAGAAACTGTGCAGAGAATACCCTTCTCCCCGAAGCTCGTCATTCTGATTTTAACTGTTTCTAACGTAAAATAAACAAATAAAATGTTATGGTGCTTGGATGGGGAAAGAAATATCCGTTTTTCGTTCTTTAAGATACTGCTCCGACATCGGCTGGGAGTTTCATAAGAGAAAATATCAGAAACCATCTGTCGGATCAGCCGACCTCTAGAGTTGCCATCTAGGCAGGTTTCAGCTTCGCTCGCAATCCAGCTATCCTCGAATTGCCCGAAGTAGTTGTCTCTCTCGAAACGAGAGACCTGTATATTGCACACGCAACTATATACAGGACAGAACCAGTAGAACAGGAAGAAGGAAGTAAAGTAAGAAGGAATAAAAGAGAGTATTCAATAAAAAAAACTAATCTTCACCTAGTATTGTGAGACAATGCGATGGTCAGTGGCACAGGGAAACCGAGCACTTACTCATCCTCTGTTGCGTGACAAAATTGCCGTCGACATACTAGACATATGTCTCAACCTGTCACAATCGCCGTTTCTTACGGCAATTTTCACTAGTACAGATTGTCCTACCTATACTGTAATAGTATTATTGATATAAACATATGTTGGTATTGTGCATTCGCCTCGTAATATATTTTCGCTAGATAAGTGGAATATATTTTTGTGGTGAACGTAAGGTTTTATACATACGAACATTTCGAACAGCGCGTGACAGTTATGCAATAGGACATTTACGTGGATAAATAGCATAAATACAGACATCTGGTAAATTCATTATATTAAGGAACAAAAATTCAAAACGTGACATGTTCATTTGGCAAAAATTAAGTTCTGTTGTTTTTACCTAGAATTTTATTTTCAGGAAAAAACGTGACACTTCCTACAGTACATTAGAGTGTACTTTTTTGTCGAGTTGTAGACGCTGTAGAAACGTGAAATTTGTGCTACATTTCTCATTTTTATTGGAAAAGAGCGAAGAGGACAAGTTTCCTCCTTCTTTGCGCTTGCGCACGGTAGTCCCAAGTTGTATCATTGGAATTTAGTTTTCTTGGAAGACAGAGGTACCGCATCCGCTGTGCCGCAGTGTAAATCTTTAATTTAATGGAAAGGCACAAGATTTAATGTAACACAAGATAATGTAGTGAAGTTTTTATTTATTTAACAACAATTGCTTCTGCTCATGGAGTTTTGTTTGTTTGTTTGATTGCAGTGTAAACAAGATCGGTTCTCTGTCAGATTTTCAATGGTGTCGCAACCTTCAAGAACTGTACGTGCGGAGGAACGAAATCAGAGACCTCAATCAGGTGAGATGCACAACTCTGTAAGAGCCTTTTCCGCGGCTTTGGATGGTTGTGGTAATCCCAAATACAGAATCATTCATGTAAATTGACACAACAAATTATACACATATGAGTAGATTGTCTAAAAGTAAAATAAAATAATTTATTCACTACTTGCTTCAGGAAGGCCTTCAACTCATCTTCAAAGACTTGATCTGATAATGAAAGTTTGATTTATTTGATTTATTTCGTCAAAAAAAGGACAAACTGTATGTGACGTATGATGTTAGAATTGATGCATTGAGTATAATATTCGAATGCTTCAATAGTGACCGGATTCTTACCTAATTGCATTTTCCTTTCTGTGTTTAGTTCTCAAAATTATGACCTTGACGAATCAGGGCAATCCTAACACACTATCCAAAATTTTCTTCGCACAATTTGACATATATTGTGTTACGTTACATTTTTTGCTTATATTTTGTATATTTTGTAAACCTTTTTATTATACTACCCATATTATTAAAATTTATTTGGGAATAAATTTATAATGGATTTTCAAAAATAAATTTTATATAAAAAAGCATCATAAACTTTATTTACTCATCGAGAATTGGGTGCTGGCGACGCGAGGTGCCTTACGAAGACGCGGTCAGTTGCAGGCAGCCTGAGTTAACTTCCGTGTGTCGCATGGTCTCTGAAAATACGCTCTTCAAGTGTGGAAGTGTATCAGTAAATATCAGGTGTTTCTTGATCTTCCATCCCAAATTACGACATAGATTGGTTGTCGCTGACATGTAACTCTACGGAGACAATGCTACAGTGATTGTTTGCGGATCATTGAACTCCCAAATTTGTGATGACAATGCAAATGTACACTTAACATTTAAGATTTATTTGAAAAATTTGTTTAATAAATATTTTATTAATGTAATATCAAATTGAATTTTGTATCTTTGTTCTACATATATGAGCGTATTTTAATATTACGTATCATATACCTTTTGCATATTTGTTACATATTCATATATTTTATTACTTATTTATAAACATTTTGACGTTTCCAAACGGCATATTTTTTCGTACTCTACTCATCTGCGAAGTTGATGAACGATTACATGAAACACATTTTAGTTGTATTTATTATTTTAATGAGACAGTAAATAATGAGATTTTTTAAACGTCAACTAAAGGATGTAAAGGCCAGGTACTTATGACATAGATTTTCGAAAAAAATGCAGTTCTGTTTTCTTGGCGTTCTAATAATAGCAGCACCTAATGTGATCTCTTGAGGTTATCATTGAGGTTTCTGTGTTTACGTGAGCTATTGTTAGGAAATTATTCGTCAGTTTCTTTAAATGTTGATTTTAGTAGTCATCTTTATATGAATTTAAGGATGTGTTCTTCAAACATCACTCCTCTTGTGTCCGTGGACGTCCTGTGTTTCTAACTTCCTCATTCCCTTATTGCGGGCGCCTTTTATGAACGAAGCCTTAGCTCTCACGGACCTCTTCGCGTGGGATGCGTTAATGCGACGGGCCTTCTTCAAAGGAGCCATCAACCGCTCCAGAAAGGCCTTACTCGGCACGTTTTGACGGGGGCGTTTAAACGAAATTCGTCGTATATGTGAGCATTGCTATTGCCGTCATAAGTCATGTGTCCCGCCCGGGATCGTAAGCTGCGAGGTTTAGAGCCTGGGAGGGAATCATCCAAGTCGAGATGCGAAGTCGAGACAAGAAGACGGAAAGAAATCCGGATGACAGTTCCATTTCTTTTCATTAATGAAAATTTAATTTTAATATATTGGGTGATCGGGTCAGATATTGTGTTGACGGGTCAGATATTGTGAACTTTTTTGAAGATTGTGTCCCTGACGCGCACTCAGAACTGAATATTGGACTCTCAAGGTGACATTTCCGCAAGTGACTATGATTTTAAGTGTCGTCTTGTTAAATTATTAAAACTTGTTTTAAATTTAGTAATACATTTATTTTGAGTTTATATATTGAAGAAATTAAATAATTACAAGAACGCGTAAGAAATCAACTTTGTAAAAGTCTAAAAATTCGTTTTCGGTGTATTGTACTTGTTGATGAGGTCGCTTTTTACCTTCTCGCCCTTGCGAATGTAAGAAAGAAGTATTGTAATAGTGCGCTGAAAAACGGCGAATTTTCGACCGAAAAACTTTTTGTCGGACCCTGGTAACGAATAAATGGATAGATAAATCATGATTCCTATATACAGGTCGAGTCGCGTAACTTTAGCACCTCCTGTAATTTTTGAACGGTTTAATTTATTGGAACGCATATTTCAAGGAAGTGCATGAGAGAATGGTGCTAATTGATGTATGTATTCGTTTCCATTTTAACACTTGTATTTTACGAGATATAGGTAGCTTTGTAGTTGTTTTTTGTTGTTGTTTTTTCAAATACAACTATACATATTTTTTAATTTATCATGACGATTGCAGGACGGCGATGTCAATGATATACATATTGACATATTTTAGATAAACATTTTTGAAGTAATTTCGATTATTTTGCGACTCGTATTGAAGGGATATTTTGAATGTAACAGTCCGCAATCCAAGGTCACGCTAACCCGCGCTCGGAGCATCACAATATCCCTAAACAGAGACGGACAACATCGAAATGACTAAAAATATGCTTATCTAGCATACGACAATATTTATGTCATTGGATTCGTCTTTTTACCCCCGTCACGATGAACTAAAAACATATGCATAGTTTCTTTTTTTTAAAAAAAAAACAACAATAAAAGACGAAGTTACCTCAATATCTCTTAAGTTACAAGTGCGAAAATGAAAATAAATGCATGTATAAACTAGCCCCATTCGCTCATGCGCTTCTGTGAAAAATGCATTGCAATAGCTTCAACCGTTTGAAAAGTACAGGAGGTTCTGAAGTTACGTGACTCACTCTGTGTAGTAAATTACTTCTTATAGCACGTGTAGCCACATTCCATGTCTTGTGGATCCTTCATATCGAAACACTGATTGACGGCAAAACGTATCCCCGCCTAATTTCTGTCTGTAATTTATGCAATTTCTATTAAAAAATCTCAAAACCTGATCCAACTTTTTTATAAAATTTTCTTCTGGTATGTAACAAAGTGCGGTAAAAATAAGATGGTAGTCCCATTTTCGGCGCACTCTTCTTATTTTCAAAAAAACTCGAAAAGTAAAGATTTCAAAACTGCAAGCCGAACTTCGAAACTCATTGCTTTTCAATAGCGTAAGAGTAAGGCTTACGGCTGGTTAACTCGAGGGACCCTAGTTCGAGTTTCGGTATGGAAATTTTTTTTTCTCATTTGCAAGTTGAAAACACTTTTGCATGTTTCTGTCTTTTGCGATCTTCTTAGTACAATATAACAGTTAGAAATAATGCTTGAAAGAATGTGCTGTTGTAGCACCTCTAGTTTAAACATTAAGCTGTCAGTGACTTCAAATGTACCGGGGCAGCTGCCCGGTCCCCTTCTCAGACGTCCTTCAGGTGGCCGGGATGGACCTCCCCTCATCGACCGTCGGAGTGGGCCCGGACGACGGTAGCCTTGAGGTGTTCCCAAGCCCCAGCGCCGTCAGGCAGGCAAGGAATGGCAGGAAGAATGTTGATGATGTGATGTGATGAATGATTGTTGGATGAGCGTCAGAATTTGATATTATTGCATAAAAATCTGACACTGCACACTTTTGCTTACGTTTTGCTTAGGGGAGGGAGATAGAATAGTTTGTACCAACTTTCAGCCCAGACAAAAAATTTCACCCAGACAGATAAAAAATCACTAAAACGAGTGATTTTTGTGAACTTTTTTTTTTGTAATTGATTTTTAGAAAACTGTCAACTTAAAGTCTTTCAATTTTTGAAGTTTGCTGACTCGTGTACACTTTTGTGTGAAGGAAACAAATAAATATAAATGCTTTTCGTGATGTTTTCAGAAACGATATGTTATATGAGTAGCTTGTAATGACAAAATTGATTTAGTATAAATAAGTAAATTTAAGAAACAATTGAGGACAGCTATCCTGAAACTAGCCCCTCATGGCGTTTTATATATAAATTTTGGTACAATTTGTATATTGTTTGGAGTAGTTAAGAAATGTTAAAATTAATGTAGTTTTAGAAACCAATTTCGTCGGTTCTTAATATTACTAACAGCATGCTTACGTTGTATCCTACTCACTATTTACTCGCAATATTTTCACAACAAAACATATTATTTGACAATTCTTAACTTCAACTAACACTAAGAGCTGTGCAGTAACCAATACTGAATAATTTTCATTCTTATCCTTAAGATTATTTCGCGACTGTGAGTGGTTTAATCATGGCTTCAATTTATTGTAAAATAGAAATTCGGAGTATACATGATATTCGCATATCCACTACGAAAAGACTACCACATACCTCGAGGGCTGCGCGTATCACAGTTTGAGAATCCCTGGAGTTCATGATTTTTGTTGCATTTTGTGTCTCAATCCGTTTGTAAGAATGTATTTAGTTTTGCAATATTGTTTTTCTTTATTGAGCAATACAAAATAACTTAATTTTTTAGTATTTGAGGCCTTTTCTAAATCGTCGTATTTTATTATTTTTCACGTCTGTAAACTGGGGATTTAATTTTAAAATGGCATGGCCATTTATATTAATCCACAATTCTTTTATTATTTCAATCAGTATATGTCAGACAATTTGACAATGACTCCCCCTACATGGAAATGCAGATTCGAATTCGCTAAGTGAAGGTGATGGGTTCGTCATAGAGTTACAATGTGAATCATCAACAGACTCGTTAACATTTTAACTTCAGAGTAATAATCTACGGGTAAAAAATGTAGACACGCCAATAAAAATGAGAGTGTGAATATGTTATGAGTCAACATAATTTTGACGTTTCAAACAAAAAAAAATCGTGTCAACGGCGTAAGGGAAATGATGATTTTGAATTTATAATCCTCCGGTATATTTTCGAACATGAACAGTTCCTCTTCTCGTGTTTCTCATTGCAAATAGAATCGCAAATAGAATTATTATTATTATTATTATTATTATTATTATTATTATTATTATTATTATTATTATCATTCTTAGTATTATTATTATTAATGTAAGTGTTGTAATTTTTGCAATTATTGTCATTAACTGCCACCGGGTTATACCCAATTGCAGTTCTAATAAATGTATGTATGTAAGCTAGAATCGTGTTTTTGCTAGAACGCTCTGTTCAGGCGACGAAATAGTCGAAGAAAAGTTGGGAGAGCATTTTAATAGAAGCTGCAACGAAACATCACCTCTTCTATCAGTAGTTTTTTGTCAGACAAGAGTGTTCTGGAAAAGAAACGACACACAATTGTAAATATTGTTACTTGAAGAAAGAATTAATGAGTATTGAAGAAATTGTTACCTCTGCCCAAACGAAATTATACCTTTCCTTACAAATTTAGTGGTTTTTACTTCATGTTTCAATTGCATCCAGTGCCTGGCACCCTAAATCGAACCTTGAAGGCGTTCAAAACGTGTTTACGCAGCTTTCTGCATTAGCTTGTGATGACAATGCGAGCAGGCGTCTGAGGTAGGAAATCGATGACTTCCTAGTATTTTGACAATTGCAGTTTTACGCGGAACTGCCCAGGATCTGGTGTGATCTTTCGGTGACATTCCGAACTAACAGGAAACAGCTGACAATCTATGTCAAGGAACTTTGTTGACCAAATACTCATTTCTTTCGTACAGAGAAGAAATTCGCGTGGCTTTTTGGGGAAAATTAAGACCGAAATCCGAAGCGCCTACTTTGAAATGAATAGTCCTTACCTCTGAAAGTCCTTCAAAGAAAATCAGAAATGCCCTATTAAATAACAAGGCGTCAAATTTGAAGCAAATTGGCGGTCAATGTGCCAACACACTCAGTGATCTTTGTGAACACACAGAACGAAAGAACACACAGAACCTCACAGAACGAAAGCTATTCCTTCGTGTTGCAATACAGGAGTATATTGCGGGTTGCAGAAGAACAGTTGGTTAACATACAATGTAGGCTTTCACGGCCGGTTTCTACATCATAATTAGTTGTTTTCGGGTTTGTAGGCCGTGGTCCAACGGAGACTAGTCCAAACGTTTCGCCTGTAATTGTGGCAGGCATCATCAGTGGCGTTTCTGGCGGGGGCGAAGTGTCCTTGGCAGCACCGCGTTGACTGTTGCGTCAGTCTAGAAGGACACTTCGCCCCCGCCAGAAACGCCACTGATGATGCCTGCCACAATTACAGGCGAAACGTTTGGACCAGTCTCCGTTGGACCACGGCCTACAAAGCCGAAAGCAACTAATTATGAAAAACGGTTGGTTCACTTTACTGTTATACCGCAGGGGCCTCGGTCGACAACTTAAGTATGTAAGATGTTGTTGTTATTATTATTATTATTATTATTATTATTATTATTATTATTATTATTATTATCATTTTAAGGTGGAGGAAATACTTAACGGGTACTAGTGAAGCTGGAGAAACACGAAAGTAGGGTACGTCATACATGACGTCTTACACGTCCATCGTGAGAATTTTCATTTATTGTGAATATTGTTTTTGTGAACTATAAACTATTCATAAAATTGTGTTTGCGTGTGTGTGAAGAGTGAATACGTTTCGTTTAAACTTCCCAATTAGGTTGAAATGTGATGAATTATTTATTTATTGTAGGTGTGCTACCTGCGGGACCTACCTCGTTTGCGATCTTTGTGGCTTGACGAGAACCCCTGTTCATCATGCGAATTGTGAGTTTTTACTAATCGCTGCCTCTGCGATCTGATTTTTCCTTGTTTTCATTTCTTTTTTAATTGTTTTCGAAAACGTGTGTAATAAAATATTAAATGCAAGATGCCACGTCCTTAAAAAGTATGGAAATATGTTAAAAGAAATTGAAAGACACTAGTAATGTATTATGTTTGCTGTAAGTAATTCATGGAGATCAATATGCAGCACAGTATATAAAAGGAACTACTTCGGATATCCATATGCAGTCCCGAAGAGTCCGCTTGGTATTATTTTGAGGTATAATTAATATGTATTGTTTGAGTAAATTTAAGAATCCAATTAGTTCGCAGCAAATTTCTTCACAGAAGTTTTGTTCGGCATGGAATTATTGATGCACTCACGAGTTCACATCAATTTTCTAATCTGACTAAACATATTTATTTACTAGGCTGTCCGCCGCGTCCATGGCGAAGGTGCCGACGTTTCGGTCGCCATTCTGCGACCTTCCTCAGGGCGTAATGACGGATAACCTAACTTAGTTTTTTACCATAGATGTGATGTTCAAATATTTGATCTTCAGCGCCTTTTGTGGCGTCCAGAGGAAATATTTTCATCACGATTACGTACAAAAACCAGAAATGATCATTTAAAACGCTGGAATGACTTTCGGCATCGAAACATAACGCGTAGAAACGAACGTCCTTTTCCATCCACTTTCTGTACAGAAAAATGATGAATGAAGGATGCAAAAATGATCGTATAAAACAGGCTTACGGAAGTAAGAATCCATGGGGGGTGACCACTCCGGAACGCCAGGTGCTACCTGCTGCAAAGAATAGAAAGAAAGTAATCCCAATCACGTTTCGTTTAGTTATTTTCACTGCAAAGTGTTTAGTAAATATTACTCAATGTATAATTCAACGCAACGATTTGTTTAGTTGTCTCCACAAGACTCCACTCCTTCGTCACGGGTCCGACCTGTTTAGTGAACATTACTATACGTGCATTAGTGTAACTAAACAGCAGTTCGTGAACTTGACTTAGCACTTTGTTCTTCCAAAATGTATTATACCATTTAGCTGAATCTCTTCTTCTTTGGTCCTGATCTTCCACAGACGGAAGTTAGGTGACCCATCTAGATGTCTCCCACAGTATTTTTCCATTCTTCTCTGTTCTCTGCCTTCCGCATTGCCTCTTCCAGGCTCATACCAGTGAATGTTTTACATTGGTCTATCCATCGCATGGCTGTTCTTCCTCGGCCTCTTTTTCCTTCTACTTTACCTTGGACTATCCGTTTCTCAAGCCATACTCCATTGCTTCGTACTAAGTGTCCCAGGAATCTCAATATCTTTTGCTTGCAAATGTCAGCCAATCTCTGTTGAATGTTTTGTCTATTTATGACTGAGGGGTTAGTCTCTCTTTCTGTCCATGATTCTCTCAACAGTCGCCGGGAGGCCCACATTTCAAAGGCATTAATTCTTTTTATATATGTTGTCTTAATAGTCCAGGTTTCTACTCCATATAACATCACAGAGAAGGCTAAAGTCTTAAATAGTCTTAGTTTGCTATTTCGGGATATGTGGTCATCTTTCCAAATTGGGGTAAGCCTACTATCTGCCTGTCTTCCTAGAGCAATTGGTCTTCTTATTTCTTTAGATGATCCTCCATCGACCTGAACTAGGGAGCCAAGGTAAATAAATCCTGTCCCTTTTTCATAATCTATTAATGCGTTTGATGGTGGGAGAACTTTTCCTTTATCCACTCTCATTACCTTAGTTTTGGCCTTATTGATAGTCAGTCCATATTTGTTACTGGTCTTCTCTATTCGTTTTATTAGTTGACTCATTTCTTCCTCCGAATGTGTACATAGTGTGGTATCATCAGCAAATCGTAAGTTGTTGATCCTTTCACCTCCAATTATTATTCCGCCATTCCAATTGTCCAAGGATTCTCTCAATATTTGTTCACTATAGATGTTAAATAAGATAGGAAAGAGTATGCAACCTTGTTTTACACCTTTCCTGGGTTTGAATTGCTCTGACATCGAATTATGTGTTCTTACTACTGCCCTTGAGTCTCCATATAGATTCCGAATGAGGTGAATCAGATGTTCAGGAAGCCCCATATCTTGTAGAAATATCCAGTTTCCTCCATTGAACGCAGTCGATGGCTTTATTCTAGTCTACGAAACAGTACTAATGGCCTATTAAATTCCTTGTTCTTTTCTATAAGTTGTCTGACATTTAAAATCTGTTCCCTTGTTCCTCTGCCTTTGACATATCCAGCTTGTTCTGGCGGTATTTGGTTATCTAAGTAATATCTTAGTCTTGCATGAATAACATTCAGTAAGACTTTTGATGCATGTGAGATGAGTGATATAGTACGATAGTTACTGCGGTCCTCTGTTCTACCTTTCTTGTGTAGTGGAATAAAGACTGATTCAGCCCAATCTCTTGGTCATATGCCTGTGGACCACACTTGATAACATAGTTCCCATACAATTTTTGCTCCTTTTTCTCCAGCTATCTTTAACATTTCTGCTGTGACTTCGTCAGGACCTGGTGCTTTGTTGTTCTTTAATTTTGTAATGGCTTGTTCAATTTCTTCGATTAGAATGTATGGTTCTTGTTCCTTAGGTATAGGTCTGTTATTTGAGGTCTCTCCAGGGTCTGCATAGAGTGTTTCACATTATTTTCTGCAGCATTCTAGGATGTAATTTGGGTTTGACCGTACTATACCATTTTCATCTTGAATAGCTGATGTCTTTATCTTGAATGTTCCTGTTAATTTTCTTATTTCTTTGAATAATTCTCGGGACTGATTCTTGTTGGCATGTGCCTCTATTCTTTCACATGTCTCGTTAATGATTTGATTCTTATCCTTTCTAATTTCTCGTCTTATCTGAGCTGATAATTGCCTATACAACGGTGTACACTGAAGCCCTTTTATTTTCAGTTCTCTCCGGTCTTCTAAAAATTTTATAGTTTCTGAGTCAAACCAGCAACCTTTCCGTGGTCTCTTTGTTCTTTTGACCTAAATTTATTCTTTGGCTTCTTGAAATGTCTTTTTCAGATTATCCCAATTGCTAATTTCATCTTTACCTAACTTCTGCTGGAGGAGTGTTCCAAATGCTGTCCATTCGTTTCCACCATTGAGACGTGTATTGGGATTGAGTTGTCGTTTAGTGTTTTTCAAGCGTAGCTTGGTTATAAGTAGATGATGATCTGTCCAACAGTCTGCACTTGGTCTTGTCTTTACATTATCAATACTCGATCTCCATCTTGATTGAATTAGGCAGTAATCAATCTGTTTTTATATTCTCCATTTGGGTATGTCCATGTACAGAGTCTTCTTGGATGATGTTTGAAGAGTGTGTTAGCAATAACCATTGCTAACGCACTCTGGTAGCTGAATCTACTACATAATTAATTGCGTGAACAAAACATTCCTCACCGCGTAACGCGCCCGATTCTATTGTGCGCTGACTCGAAGCAGAAACACTCAACGCGCCCAGCTTCACTGAGTGGTCATGTCATGGAAGATCGCGTATTGATTCGTGTGACGTACCCAGTAAAATTGGGGCTGACTGGACGCAGAAACACGCGTAGTGATTTGCACAACGCGCCCGTCTTCTCTGGGCATGGCCTGTCGCAGAAGCTCAGTTAAATCAGGGACGGGTGCGCGTAGTCCCTTGTGGCGCCCGCCCGGCCTCGCTGCGGCTGCCTGACGCGCGTCTGCCGCGCGTGTGCGGGGCACAGGTACCGGGTGACGGTGCTGCGAGCGCTGCCGCACCTGCAGAAGCTGGACAACGTGCCGGTGGCCCCGGAGGAGGTGCAGGACGCGCTGCGCCGCGGCGTCGAGCTCTGCCACCCGGAGGACGCCCGCGCCAACGAGGTGCCCCAGCAGCACCAGCACCAGCACCTGCACCAGCAGCAGCAGGTGCCGATGCCAGACTCTCGCCAGCATAGCCCTGCGCGACAGGAGGTGAGCGTCTGCCTGCCCGCCTGCCCCTGCATACCGGCTCGCACGCTCGTGCCCACGCTCTCACCAAACTCTTTCCGTGCGGTTGATCCGTGTGTGAAGTAACAAACTGGAACTTACTCTCTCTACGTTCCTTCAAGACGTCGTAACTCAAATATTCTTCCGCCTTCCATTATTGCATCTTCGTTCTCTCCTGTTTCAAAATTTTTTTTTTCATCATAGTCCTCTCGTTATGTCTTCTATTCTCCTTTTCCTGTACTTTATTTCCTCTCCTTCCTCATTCCTCAATTCTCCTTGTCCTCTCTTTCTTCTCCACTCTTTCTGTATCCATTTTACTTGACTTCCTGACCGGGAGTCAACCCATCATCATATTCGTGAACTCTGAAACAATTTCGTTTAGACAGCGCGTGAGAAAAATATCTTCGTAAAATCGCAAATGTTTCTATTCGTTATGTCATTCTCAATTCATTCCCTTGTGTCTCCATCTCCACAAAAAAAGACTGGAAGGAAGAAAACATTTTCAAAAAAAAAATGCTTATCCTTCAGCGTTCTTCATTTTATTGGTATTATATAATGCATAATTATTACGGACTCTTAACCAACCATCCTCATTTTTTTATTTCGCGTTTCCCACAAGTATCATGTAATTTTCCCGTCTTAACTTGCATTAATATTCACCTGATATTGTCCCTTTCGCTTACTGTGATTCGCCCGCGTTTATTGCTACATTATTATCGAATTCTCTTTTCTTTTTCGATTATATTCAGTTTGAAATTTCCTCTTTGACCTACCCCTCCTTATATTTAATCACTTATTTCATCTTCACAATTTGAGTATATCTTTTCACTTTTCAGCCTGTCCCACAGTGCGCGGTATGTCTATTACACCGCGGTGCAAGCTACTTCTAATACAGGCTATCACGCTACTGTAGATACAAAGATAATTTCTAATATTCGACTACATTTATCATTTACCCATCAAGTATTCTCACAATTATTCTCTGCAATTCCTTCAATCACTCTTCTTTGCTTCTTGTCAGTCCATCTCAACGTGTAAAGATGCGTTGTTTAAACTTTGTAGTTCCATTATCTCATTTACGTCCACATTCAATGCCTTTGTGTTCTTACCTGTGAATAATTTCAGGTCTCATTTGGAAGTGTCTGCTAGTGCGACAGTGTTAATATTGCTATTTTAAATCTTCAACCCCATTTAACATTGACATACCTTTGTCCATGCACCTTTCAAATCACCTGGTATTAGAAATGCTCCTATAATGTCTGCCAAATGGCGTACGTTTCGTTACGGCACGGCTTGAGCACGCCCAGTAGACTAACACACAATGTAATGAAATCCGTGTGCTTCTAACGAATTACGACGAATGATACAATTATGTGTGTTAAATTGAGAAGTGACAAAACGCATGAGAGTAATAATCATCACACTTATACAGTAATTGTTAACAATTATTGTTATCATTCATGAGTGATGATACTCCATTTAACATGTACATATTTTGGAGAGTCTTCTATTATAGTGACTGTAGCTATTACGTTATGCCTGGTCGGTTGTCGCTTTTTGCTTGTGAAATTGATATGTAAACCGGCCTGTTCATCGTTTTTTGTTTTTTTAATTCAAAAAGATGAAGAGAGAAATGTAAAATAATAGTGTAAGTAATTACTGCACACTTTAATCTACATCATTTCTTGAGTTGATGCTTCAAACTCGAAATTATGTACAACGATACATGGCACCGTGTACTCCAAGAGATATTCTCCTAAACTTGTGGTTACACATTGTCGCGTGTCGCTAGGTCAGCAGATCTATTAATCAAGAGTCTTGTAGTGTCCCTTCGTCATTAGGTAATAAAGGAAACGTGCAAATCAATGGAAGACGTGAAATTCCCAGATACGAGGTTTATTTACCGAGCCACGCTGTTTTGGCCACAGCAGTGCATTACCGGTTACTTCACCGTTCTCATTCCATCCTGTAGCCCGCCCCGCCCCCCCTTCCACTCCACCCCGTCCCAGTGTACCGGCCAATCGTCAAGCGTGGCTTCTCGCTCGTAACAGGAAGTCACGAGATCGACCGTACTGACGACGGACTACGAAGACCCTCGCGCATTCGCGTCCGGCACGCAAGACAACTTCCAGCACCAGGTGAGCCTCGTCTCTCTCTCCCTTCCTTGCTTCTACTCCGCCCACGCACGTACCCAGCAAGGATTCCCACATTTCCCTAATTTTTAAGTTTGTAGTCATGGACAATCAATTGCTATGGACAGCAACAATCGATTTGGCTTTGTGGTGATGGGACCCCCAAAAATTTATAAATTCTGGGAGAAGATTAAATGATATTTGATAATTAAGAATTAATGAATATGTTTCAATTGAAATGCGATAATTATTGCTTCTTTTCATCGATAACTATACGCTTATTTAATTTAAAACTTCAAAACTAAAGTGATGTGCAGTGATATTACAAAAAACTTTGTAAAAAAGGTGTAAGGTTTTCAGCATTTAATTGTTATCAAATGTTGCTAAATTCCATTTGTCAACATTTACTGCAATAGGTTTTTAAAAAGAAGTGAACAACAAACGTGCTGTGTGAGACTCAAAAATTAGGATTTGGATCGATTTATTTTTTGTTTTCTAGGCATTTGTGTAGCTTGTAAATGGCGGATTTCACACCAAATTGTGAGAAATGTTTATTTCATCCGTTGCATGTCAGACAGGTAATTGACAAAGAAATACGGTTTATTGTAGTGTCTATATTCACTAATCCAACGGTAAGGGAACTGCCGATCCAGGGACTCCCTTCTGGATAACGTTGTCACCTACCCATGCCTCTACCTTCTTTCTAGAAGCCATGGAACGCCCGACGAACATTAAATTTATTTTTTCAAGTATCAAACAATCTAATTGATTCCAACTCCTCACACTAAAGATTGTTTTAAAATTTACAATGCGATATTGCATTTACTTACTAAATTATCTAATCTAAAGTTTGAAGAAGTAGCAATTCTGAAAATACGCAACCTACGTTGAGTTTGAAGGCTGATATAACGAAACTTTTTGATTCTGGTGTGTTATCTTGAATGATTGTACTAGCATCGTATTTTAATTTATTTTTTTTTTCATATTTCTTTTTCTCGAGATACAGACTATAAAATTGTATTTTCGATGTAATTTAAATTTATTTCAATTCCTTCCGCATAAGAACAATTTGTTTTCAGCTGTGTATCAATGTTATACTTGTGAATTAGGTTTGGGCAATTTTATTGAGTATTGTAACAATCGGATTTAAAATATAATTTTGCATTTGTATATATCTCACGAAAAGAAATTACAGTTTAATTATATTTGGTCACCAAATATTTTAATTGTAGCTCTTTAATTCTCATTTCAGGGCAAGCAAGAATTACACGTAGTTGAGGCTGTTGCTTACAAACTTTGCCACATTTGATTAGCTTTATCTTATTTTACATCTGTTGCTGTAGTCTTGGAATGCTGTTTCTTGGGAGCAATTTTTCGTTTGTTTCTGTTTTATATTGGAAGCCTTCCTGCTTCTCAGCTTTTTCAACGGTTCTTGGCACCTTGTTGGATTAAACTGTTCGTTCTATCGGAAGCTGTCATTGGCTGACCCTCCGGAAATGCCTTGGCTATTATTTCAAAATATACGTGTTCCATTAACACGTGTATTATATAAGAACATTCCAATAACATGTTTATATAGTCTAATTTTTTTATTCCCGAATATTTGCAATATTTTTAAAATGTGAAATAATAAGTAAATACTATAAATGGTTATTAATAATATCAAATGAAATGAAATTAGGAATGCCCCCCATTGATACTTTTCTTGGGATCCTTCTCAAATCTATAATAAAAAGATTAAAATATTATTACATTATTGTTAAGGGTTATGAGGATTAATTATATATGAACATTTTAGAGCAAAATAAGGGATTATGTTTCGAAAAATGTTTGTTATTAAAACTGAGGGGAGATGAATAGTGGAAATTCTATTGAATCGAGAAAGTCCTTGGCTAATATCAAGTAGGTTTAGAACTAGTTGATTGGGAATCATTTCCAGATTTTGGCGAACTTTTGAACTTATTTTTTGAATCTTTTCTTGAACTGTTGGTATATTCGTCTTCAGAGTGTGATCGTTTCTTTCATAAAAAATTTCTACTGAAAATGCATTAAATGAATGTGATTATGTGAATGATCAGTCAGAAACAAAACTTTTCTTATTCTTATTTTCTATCAAGATTATGTATTAGAATTCAGACACAAAAGAACGGAATATTTAAGATAAAAATGAGACATTAGAAATATGCATAAATTACAAAATATGAACGAAAACGTTTTTGAAGTGTGCAGGTACATTTGAGTATCTAATTTACCGTGAGTGCCAATATTTCAAAGGTCATGTTTTTATGCTTTTAAACCTGTGCCGAAAATATAAGTTGAATGATTAGATTTCGAGTTAAATGTCCACATTTTTGTAGTTATGTGTTCATGGAGATGGTTTGGGGATACACTTCACGGGACCAGTATTGATCAAATGTCCCTTGATTTTGCTCATTATTTTCTTTATCTCCTTCTCAAACGCACAAATTGCAGATAGCTCGCTTTTTGTATGCATTTCGCCGGTGAGTTGGCATTGGGGAGTGCGCGTATTGGACGCAATGCTAGCGTTTGGACCCTCAGATCTGGAAGCTGGTTGTGTCTGCTTGCAGCGGCGCCACGCCAGTCTCAGCAGCCTGTTCGCTAGCACTGTAAGTGGAGCCGCGCCGATTCCATGTTTTGTCAGTGTCGTAGATTGCGTCCAAAACCAGGGCATCGAACTGTTGTCTATTTTAAATACTTTCTCTTCGTACGCAGAACTGTCGTATGTCGAACTGACGCTTCAACCTTTTTACTCATCCTCATCTCGCGCTCGCATGATGGATACAAACCGACAGATCCCGACGTGAGTTCGACGAAGTTGCGCTCTGCAGACATTTCAGACGTGAACATGTGATGCCAACCAACACGATCCGCCTTGTACGAACAAGAAATTTATTGTAAAGTCGATGTAATGGAGTTAGATTTTGTGTATAGAATTCGGTTGATTTTCTCGTAAAAGTAATTCTTGAGCTCTATATAGTTACATCAGTTTAATGCCCTGGCCCAGGATTGCCACCCTAGAACGCAAAGTTTCTAGAAAATTACGAAACTAGTTGGACAAATGTCGTGAATAATTAATTTAAATTTATTTCAAGTAGTTCCTTGCCTTACGTTGAATAGATAATTTCGAAGTCAAGACAGTATAATGAATCAGCTGCATTGTTAAATAAATATGCCCCGACCAAGTCCTAACGAGTATTTGTCGATAAACTTTATAGTAAGGTGGCAACCCTATCCCTTTTATTTGTGAATTGTAGAATGCAATATGTCTTCTGCGTATTGTGGCATGCTTCGTTGTACTTCTGTCAAATTATGAGCATGGAAAAAACGATAGCATGATATGGATATTCAAATACGTGATTTGTTCGTCCTTAATTATTCTTGGCTACATTTAATTTTTCATATTCTACTTGGACGAAGGAGCATGTAATGTGTTCATTTAATATGAGTTGTTTAAATGGCTTTGTAATGGCCTGTGGTTGATCTCAGTACATGTATATAATAAGTGGGTGCCTTAGACATCAGAATCAAAATGCAGCATATCATGTACTACAATTTTGTCTGTCGCATGGCTATGTATGGTGGTGCTGGTAATTTTTAAAGATCAGTTGTCCTTGCAATTTATCTCTATTGAATAGTAGTGGTGATGGAGTGCTATGTGGGTACTTTTTGAATAGAATAAAATAACACATTTTCCCATTAATTTCGTTAGCAAAGCCAGTTGATTGTATTTTATTGTTTTTGTTTGACTTTGTACTGATTATTTTGAAATACACATTTTTCTTTAGGGTATTACACGTTTCGTGACGGTAAGGGCCCGCTTTATGTAACTGTGTTTTGTGCATGATACGAGATATAAATTATTTGTAAGTGTCCTGATAACTAGTTCTAGAGATGTTGATGGCTTTTAATTTTTTCTGAGGTAATGTCTTAACGGTTATGCTTTAACCTCTATGGTAAACGTAGTTTTGCTGGAATGACACTTCTAATCATCAATACTTGCTTATTCACCCACATGTGAAAAGCAAGTCTCAACCTGTTCAGCCAAGTGAATTAGTTGTTTTGGCGGCTATGCATGTTGGAATACTACAATTATCAAAGTTCTTTATGTAACGCTCTTCTTTTAATTTTTAAATGTTTAAAAGCATTCTCGAATATGTATGTAGGGTAATTTATATCGTGTTTCTCATGTGAAATATTCTCATGACTATATTCAACGTGTGGAGCTGGTTATGTAACATTCATTTCACATAATCTATGTTACATTTCTTAAAAAATATCGTTTTCTTAAAAGTGACAACGATTGAAAAGGAATGCTGATTTTTCCAAAGCCTGAGAAAAGGTAATAGTAAATAGAAGTTCTGTTGTAAATGGTTCAATCTCTGATTGAGTGTTAGTATAAGTTTGCTCAAATGTTTGAGTGTGACAGTTGAATTAACGACATCGTATGAACCAACCAACCAACCAACAATCGTAACGTCATTCGTAGCCACTTGAGTCTTCCGCCTTACGCCTCCAGGCGTAAACTCGAGATGAAACGCGTTCTCGATTTCACTGCCGCTGATGATTTAAAGATGACATCCGTAATGCCTGGTATTTTTCGAACATACATACAGTGCTTCCCAGGTATTTCTACATGACAGTTTATTTAAGGTACTATTATGCTGCTCATAGAATTGAAGCATTGGAATTTAATTTTGTACTAGTATTCGTGGCAAATCATCAAATACTTGCCTGGAGCTGCATTGTGGTGGTCCAGTAATTCACCAATCGCGAGAGCAAATGTAGACTCACAGTTCCGGTAAATTATCCCATCCTATTTGATGTAATAGGCACATTTCATTGTAAATAATTGTGTTGAAATTGAAATGCAATAATTTTACAGTCAAATTTGTAACTACAAATTAACAATTATTATTAGGTCAATTATTATTAAGTTCCAGATTCTGTGTCCCAGGAGATTGATGCGCAGTCTGGTTGCCTGAAATGAAAGCGGGTGCTTCATCTCGTGCTTGTAGCATGGAAGGAAACTTCTCGTATTACTACTAGTAATCACTGATATCAATAGATTAATTGATGCATATTTGCTATAAAGATATCTCACGTTCTTGGCCTCGTAATTTCCCACCGAGGTCTACAGAAAGTAGAATATTCTATTGAAATACCATTGCGATTCATTTCCAAAAACGAACCGAACAGTCGTTACTCATATTTAATAATAGCCTTTGCTTTTAATTTTTTGTTTTGTTATCTTCAATAGAGAAAAAAATATTAAAAATACTTCGCTAAAATGAATTGCGTGACTCAAGCGTACTCGAGCGAATTGATAAAATCTCTATCAAAAATTATAGTTAATTACTCAGAATGGGTGTTACACTGGCATGAACTCGCGTCGGTATTTCGCAAAGGTCTGATGCGTCATTCCGTTGAAGATTACGAATGGTGAATTTAGAATTTAGTTACTTAATCAGATGTACCATCTTAAAATCTCTCTCCGTGCCCTTGTGTTCTCGTGACAGTGAATAGATCCTTCACGCAGGGCACGATAAGGGAAAGAGACAATCACTAGCTCATTTGCCGATGCAAATAGTTTCTAATGCAAATGAAAGAATATTTCTTTTTATCAATTTTTGCCAAACGCTCCTTGTTCCTTCTATTCCTAATTCAGCTCAGCATAGAAATGGCGTGGGGTAGGGCTTTCAGAGTTCAGGAAATCGTGTTCAGAGTATGTGACTTATTTGCCAGAATTATAAATGCATGCCTTTTGACGTTTAAAGAAAGTAATAAAAAATCCTCGCGAATCGAACGGGTTTGAAAACAACCAAAGCTGGAGGCAGCAGACCGAGGACCTCGTGACTAGCCTCCTTGCTCCTATCAACATTTATTATAAATTCCAATGATTCATTTTATTTGAAATTTCACCAAAATGCTGCTTTGGTATCCCACCATTCTCGTGTGGAGTGCCGGACTGGGAAGCACTGTGAGAATCGCCCCGTCGAAGCGCTGGTCCGGGAAATGAAGTGAAGGGAGGGGTCGTGTGACCGGTGCCTCCGCCCGCAGCAGCGCAGCCCGCCGCGGCGCCACGCGCCCTCCGACCCGGACCCGGACTCCGAGCCCGAAGCGCAGCAGCCGGCCGGCCTCTTCTACGACACGGACCGGCGCAACGCCAACTACGAGCCGGACGCCACGGCGGGGTGAGTCAACACGAGGCAATGTGCACAAAATTGCGAAAACGCAGCGTTGGTAACAAGAAAGTCGATGTTCTAATGAATATTTCATTATTAAGCATCTATTCAAAGCAAATTAGAAAGAAGTGAGGTGAGATAGAAAGAAAAAAAAAGGTTTAAAAAACCGTTTACCTGTCAATCATTATCTTGAGTGAACCTTCTGTATGTTGCACGTTCCATTACTTAGTTTTGTATTTATAAATTAATAGTTATTACTCATTCAAAGATTTGAACATTTTAAGTAATAATTAGGGTTTAGCAACAAAAATACCCTTGATTACAATAAATGCATAATATAATTAGTTAATATTCTTTATGTTTTGCCGGTAGTTTATAAGATAAAATCTCTCGCAAGTGATAGAAAACTAGGCGTTCGGTGTAAATAATATCTGACATTTTTTATGAAATCGAGATTAGTCGCCTTAATGAAGAAGTGGGGGTAGCTCAGACTATGTTCAAAGAGATTTCAATAACAAGCAATTAATAGCTTGACAAGCGACAATGCGCTTGAACATCGTGGCTTTTGTGTCTCGTTACGTGCATAAAAATGCGATTCTATATTATATTTATCACCAGAAGGTGAAATGTCATGTATTATTATTTACTCAAGAACTCAGTTTTTCTTCTTTACACACCGTTGCACCTGACAGAATTCAGTGGTGAGCATTGCGAAACCAAATCCGGTGGCCTGCTGATACATTCATTATATTACCATTGCTACAGCATTATTGTAAGATGTACTTGACAGTTCTTCTACAGACAGTTACTCTGACTTTCGGAGTGATTCTATCTACATTAATTGAAATGCTTGGTAGCAGGAACCAAAAAAACCACAGCAAGCTTTTTTCATAAATGTCGATATCTCGATTTTGGTAGTAGCGTGTCTCATTTTGTTACTGTCCCAAGACTTTCAATTTTATTACAGTTATAATTTGTTTTTACAGATTTGTGTTAACGTAGTTTAATTAAGATGCTGCACAAAATTGTTTCATTTCCAAACAGAAATGAAACTGTAGTATGAGTCATTTCAGAATATGAATTTATGATTTGTTTCAATTCTCAATTTAAAAATGTGCCAATATCTCCTCAATAACCCCTAAGAACATTCACGAACTAGAACCATGTACTGTGCTCCTGAGCTTATCGTGCAATGTTCATCTCAATAGCAAAAGTGTTATGATGTTGCAGGTATGGCCGTGCTGTGAATAACCAATATCACAACAACATTTATGACGTGAGTACTGTTAGTCATTGTTCAAATGTGTGTCATTTTGTTGCAAGTGCATGGTTATCTTTAGAAGTAACAGTATATGTACAATTTAAATAACACTATAAAGTTAAAGCATGCGTTGATGTTTTTTTGATGTTTCGTGTTGTGTAAATATTCTCCGAGAATTCTGAGTATGAGGTCAAAGGAGCGATATAACTTCTAAAATGCCTATTAAAACGTATCATTTTATAGCATTTCATAAATTAGTTAAGCCACACTGACTTGGTCTCTATACTGTACTTTTGTTGATAAAGTGTTTTACACAGTTGTGAAATTACAAGAAATTCATTTTTCTCAAATTTTTCAGAAGTTTGTACATTTGAGATTGGACTAGAAATTCTCTCGGATAACAGGAATAATATATTCATATCTTTGTTTTAGAAATTAGGACAAACGTACCCTGAAAACTCACCATAAATGTGCCTGGGGGTATGATGTCTCGCTTAAGATATGGCCCTTCTCAAACTTTCGGTCTAAAAATGAAGATTGATTTTAGTCGCCTAACAGCATTTCGGGGGAGAGGCAAAAGGGAAACGGGAATAGAACACATTTTATTTCATATCAAAAATTGTAAACTAAATTACCACTAAAGAGCGACGTTACAGGTTTTAAATGAGAACAGCATCGCCATCGCAGTAGAAAGTGAAAAGAACATCAAAAGAAATTACATCAGAAAAGAACTAACAGAAAGAGCCAGATGGACCGCCGGCAATACGCCTCTGGAAAGCCAAATTAATGATGTCGTAGGAAAAATGTATCTCAGTGACAATTCGAAAGTATTACATGCAACTGAACATTTTTTCTTCATTCTACCTTGATAATGGAAAAAATTATGAAAGAATAAAAATGATTCGTTTTGATAATAAAAATATAGCTATTTACCTATATCAATGGTTCCGAACGGGTACTTAGTGAAACCTCTGAGATTCATGAGCTTTATAAAAAGGGTTCTTGAAAATAATATTATAATGGCGGAATTTTAAGTTTTCAAAATATAAAAAGATGACAAAATGCAAGTTTTTAATCTAAACTTAATATTGTTGGTCTACAAAGTTTTTACGATGTTCCAGTTTCTCGTTACGAACTGTTATGCAATATCGAAAATAAATTTTAGTGGTGGGTGAATTTCTCGATACTCTATACCGTTATCTGTCTGAGAGACTCGACACCATTTTACTTTAAAAACTTAACGAGTCTTTCAATTAGAATTGGAACGGTAAATTTGTTCATATATGCGTAATCTATTCTGAATATTTCTATAATATTAAAAAATTATTGAACGGAACACACATATTTTAAAGTTTTTGGCGTTGTTTATTTAAAAAGCTAACATCCATACTCACTTTGGGTTCATTTTGTTTCTTTTTTTGGTCACATAGCAGTACAGTTTTAATAAAATGCCTTTCGGAAAAAATAACTAAAGCTTGTGGAATACTAAGTACCAAAAAGCTATTTCGTAAAGAGGGGAAAATCACTTCGTTTTCCAATAGGATAGTACATTAGCATCACGAGCAAGAGAGTCCTCGCTTAAATAGTCATTTACCTGATTCATCTTCTGTTGATCGGGTTTCACGTACACATATGGATGTTTCAATGCCATTGTCAGAACATTCCGATAAAGACACCACATGCCGCATTTTTATGGAGTTCGGTAGCTGATGATACGTAAAAATTAAATTCAATAAAATGGATGGACTGACATTTTGAAAAAAACTTTTTTTCGGTATCAGGTTACCCTTTTTTTAAATTTATTTCCTCCTGTTCGGCATTGCTGCCTTTCAGGGGTGTTAACATTTACAAAATAATGCTTTGATATTCGTTCTCACACTAATTGTCCTGAATATTACAGGCTGTGTTCAATGTATAATTTTGAAAATTGATTTGATGTGAATTTATTTTTATAATTCATTGAATAAAATATTTGTTTGTTATTATTTTATATTAATAGCTGTTGGGAATTAATGACGTTGAGTATTTAGGGAAGTCTGAGTTTATCTTTGGGAAATCGTGATCATATTCTATTTGGTTTTGGGTAGATTTTGCCGAGATTGAAGTTGGGCGTGGCTGGAGATCTGAGAGAGTGTCAAAGAACTTGTGAGAGGATTTTAGGATGTGTTCTTGTATTGACTCAATTCGTAATTCTCTGTGAAGTTGTTCGTTACTAATAAACCAGGGAGCCTTAGTTATTTTTCTTAAACATTTATTTTAATGATTTGTAGTTTTTCGATGTGTGGGTGTTTCGATGTGTGCATTACACCAAATTGGGCAAAATACGTGATTGTTGGTCGTAATATCGATTTATAAATTGTAGTTCCACATTCAATACTTAAAACTGATTTAGAGTTAGGAAGAGGATAAAGTTTAGCAATTTTTGCAACTGTTGTGTTTGCAACTGTTTCGATGTGGTCTTCCCAAGTTAATTTTGCATCAAAAATTAGTCCTAAATATTTAACTGCCGTTTGTTTGGGAAGCCATTTTATTTTTGAATTTTAAGGGGGGAGGGGTCGGTGGTCTTCGAAGTGTGAAGATTTTTGCTTGAGATTTGTGCGAGTTCATTTTGATTCTCCACTGTTCAGACCAGGTGATATATGTTGTTAAGTCGTTCTGAAGGTTGTCGTAAGCACAGAGTATATCCTCGTGGGCTGTGAATAAATCGGTATCGTCAGCGAAGAGAGCGATTTCTGAGTCAGCTGGTTTTGGGATATCCGATAAGAATATGCTGAAAGGTGATAGGCATGATCCTTGAGGGACACCGGCTCTAGGTTGACATTGATTAGAATAAGTAGAATTGATTCTCACCAGGAAATGGCGATCTGCTAGACAGCTGTCGATAATTTTATAGAGGTAGTTTGGTAAACCCAGACGTTGTAGTTTAAATAGTAATCCGGGGTGCCACATTTTGTCAGATGCCTTTTCAATGTCTAGAAATATTGCTAAGGTGTTTGTGTTGATAGAAAGAATTAGCCATGAATTCTGAAAGTCTCAGAAGTTGGTGCGTTGTTGAGTATTTATTTCTAAATCCGAATTGAGTACTAGGTATAGCCTTTATTTCTGTAACATACGTGTGTATTTTACCTTCTCCAAAATTAGCCATTCAAAATTTCATTATAAGCTTTTAATGGGAATTTTTTATTTGGTGGTTTATATGCCGCAACTATTTCGTAATTATTGCTACCTATATTGATTTTTGGACTGTGAGTCGCTTGATGCTTAAAGTTGTTAGATACTAGTATGGCTACAACTCCTGAAGCCACTTCTGAGGTTCTATCGTTTCTATATATTTTGTAACCTGGTAGTTTAAATTTTTCATTTAGTACTAAGTGTGTTTCTGTAACACACGCAATATGTATTTTGTGGTGATGCAAAAATTGTTCAACTATTATCTGCTGTCTTTTAATACCATTAGCGTTCCAATTTAATATTTTTATTTCTTGTATTTTATTTGCCATATTGAAGAACTGGCATTAACGACTGTTTTTTATTTGGGGTATTATAGCTGAGATTATTTGATTTACTATTGTGTTAACGAGTTGAGTTATGTCTATTTGAGGCTGTGGGTTTGAAAATAGTCGTTCTGTTTGCCAAGCTGTTAGTTTGCGTTGTGGGAGACCGGGAAAGTTTTCATTGTTTAAATTAATAGAAGCTTTCTCTTGTGTTTCGGTTACCTGATACGATTTGTTAGAGTTTTTCGCTGAAAGGAAATCTGCCCGTGACCCTCGCCGCAATGAACACAAATCGGTTTGAAATTTTTAGGAACAGTACATTTTGAATAGTGATGGTGACCATCAAAACGAACACACCTGGGCTTAACATGACAATTAGCTTGAGAATGACCGAATGTTTGACAATTTTTGCATTGTACAGGTGCATTAGGTTTTAGCGGCGGCGATGGTGTAACGGTTAGTGTACTGGACTGTTTTACCCAAGTTGGCGGGTTCAAACCCGATAAGCCGTGGATTTTTAAGGGCGAAAAAATCCTTCGTACGCCTTCCTTCGGAGGGGAAGTAAAGCCGGATTTCCCATGTTTGTAGATTTACTTGCATGTAAAAGATCCTCAAGCCTAAATGACGCCTCTGAGCTAAATTCAAATCGCCTGTTTCTCGCCCACGAAATACCTCCTTTCTCTCCTAGTTGGTGAAAGGAGCGTAGCGAAATTAGCGTGGTCAGACGGAAGAGCGGGCCTGATGGCCCGAGTCTCGCCACGTAAAATAAGGCAAATTCAATTCAATTCATTACGTTTGATTCTAGGTTGAATTTGAATTATACAATTCATGAATTTGTTTATATTGTCTATAGATTTTGCTTATTCAGTCTCTGTTAAGTCCATGGCACAAGTTTGTAGTGGCTGTCTTTGCTTATCATATAACCTATATATTTTAATTACTGGGTAATTGAGCCGTTTGAATTCTTCGAATATTTAACTTTCTTTAAGAGATTCTGGTATTCCCTTAAGCATAACTGAAAAGATTTTCATCGAAGGGTCCCTGTACGTATAAGACGACACTGATTTACCTTCACAAAATTTCTTATAGGTTCTAAAGTCGTCTATATCGATAAAGAAAACCTTGATTCCATTCTGACATGTTCTAGTGGAAAAATCGTTTTTGGCTACTGATTTGATATCATCTAATATTATTTTGTAGTGTTTACCTAGAACATGTATGGGAGGGATTTTCACTAGTGGGGTAGTATTGACTGGTTCATTTGTTGTTTCATCTTCTGTAAATATTTCAAATCTATTAGATACTGGTACGCCATACATATCACAATATTCTTTGTCTTTTAGCAGAGTTCTTTTCCAAAATATTGAGTTCATTACTTACATTTTGTTGACGGGGTTGGCTACTTAGCTGCAAATGTGAAAAATTCTGAAACTGCGGAACCTGTTGAGAATTCTGTTGTTGCAGTTGCGGTATAGTTCTGCGTTGCTCGTTAAGATATTGTAGGAACGGTTTTTGTTGGTCTTGCATCATTTTCAATTGTTGCTCTGCCTGAAGTTGGCGTTTTCGTTGAGTTTGAAGATCTACTTGCCGCTGGGTGGCTGTATTGCACTCGGTCATTTCAATGTTTGAATTTACACCAGTGTTTGTATTATTTAACGCGTCTAGGGCTTTTTTAATTGCTTCCGCTGTTGAATCTGTACTTGGGTCCAGGAACACTGATGGCGTGGAGGGCACTAGTCAATGCGCGTGAATCACTGGTAGTTTACTGGATAATTCTCTGGCCGAGACCAGAGCATAAGCTTTTAAACACGAACTGATCGCACTTATTGATTTTTTTATATTTAGCACTTTATAAAGAAAAGAGACTAATCGTTAGATGTTTCTCTGCACTAGCCACTCTTGGCACTAGCAAAGAGACCACTGCAATGTGAACTGCGAAGAGAAGATAAGAGCTGCCTCAGCGCGACGTGTTCACCTCGGCGGCTCGAGCCAGACTGACATTCAGGGTACCCTAAATTTAATTTTTGACCTCTCTCCCGCTATTGCTGTTGAAACCTCGAAAATGAGATCCCGCAGCATTGCATAACTCTATACTCCGTGTACGAGAAAGTAAACAAGTGCGGCTCAACCAAAGACTCAGTGGCTTGTTTAAGATCTGAATAGGAACAAAGGGGCATGTGGCAGAAAAAAAGAAGAGAGAAAGGAATGTGAAGATAATTATTCTGCTATATCAGAAGAGAAGGGGAAAGAAATGAAAAATTTAAAACTTTCCGAAAATATCGTTCGCTGACGATACCACCCGAATATCCAGGATATGAAGGTATCTGAAGTATGAAGGGCCCAAACTTAATGTTAATACGGTGTTATTGTTTTCATTGTTATAAATGAATCCACAGGGCGTCGCCAGTTTATTTGGTTTTTTATAAGAGAGAACCTAGAGAATAACAATCTGGCAATAACAGGAAACGTTTTAAGAGGCTGATCATTCTGTCAATATAGGATTTGCTACGAGCAAAATGTGCTCATCAGCGACTGACAAACATCTGAAAGTAACGTAGAAAATGAAATGCACATTCCGTACGCAGTAAAGAGTGCCATAATACCCCCAGGCATCTTACATCTGGTAGTAGTGGTTTAATTTTATCATGAACTTTGCGTTGTATTCTTTTATCATTCACATGCTAGTGTATTACTTTCACCTCGTGAAATATTTATTGTGGAAAATTTAACTTCTACAGTTTAATATAGCCGAAGCGCAACGGAGTGTGGCCAATTAGCGTTGGTTTTAGCTCACTAGATCACTTTCATTTCATAAAGTACTACGTATTCATATCGCTCGTCTGAAATCGATGCCTCGAATACTCAGGAAAAGTGAGTGCCTCTTTTGGATCTTGGGTTATCTGAAAACCGATTTTTCCAAAACCTGTATGTTTTACATATGCTTTCTTTTCTTGTTCTGTCTCTGTTTACCGATATAAATTAATTCCTATTTTCGTTTAAAGTAGTTGTCGTACGACCTCTTATGGATGTCAATATTCTTTGCTTGTTTCATTGGTAGTGGGTCCAATTTCTCCACCTTCAGTCAAAGAAGAACTTTTCCAAGCCTTGACTTATATCGTGCGTGGACAGGTCTCTTTCAATGGCCCTTCCCAGATCCACGTGAGGTACTGTGCTTGATGCAGTGCTTGTAGTTTTGGTGAGTGTGCTACGCATGTGGTAACACAGTCTCCGTGCCCAGTGTGGTCAATGATCTAGTATCCCATCCCTTCACCCTGACCTCTTGCGGAAAGGAACCATCAATGCGAGGCGTTTTGTCGAATCCAGATAGAGGTTATTAGAAACCAAGCCAATAGTTTGTGAAATAAGAGTGCACAACATTTTTAAAATATAAAAGTTTTGGCTGAATTTTGAACTACCGCCGCTGGCAAAGCCGACTTCGAGAATATGCTGTGTAAATTTAAAAGTTGGAAAATAGTATTTGATGATTGAGATAGGTGATCGTTGTTTTTTGTTATACTATTCATGAAGGAAAACTATCTCCACGTATCGATCTTCTTTCAAGCTGTAAGTTATTGCTCAGATTCTTTCCGAAAAGAAATAAAGCAGTTTCTCTTGCTGAAATATTGAAAAAGAAATAACCGTCCAGAAGAGAAATCACGCATCATTACTTCGCACCTTGAAATTCAGAAGATCGAAATACCAAGGAGGAAACGTAAATATTTTTCCAGTAACGCAGAAAATATCGATCTACGAAGGTTAATGGCAAGTGACCATCTAACAAATTAGATTGAATTTGCCTTATTTTACGTGGCGAGACTCGGGCCATCAGGCCCGCTCTTCCGTCTGACCACGCAAATTTCGCTACGCTCGTTTAATCAACTACCAGAAAAAGGAGGTGTTTCTTGGGCGAGAAACTGGCGATTTGTATTTAGCTCAGAGGCGTCATTTAGGCTTGAGGATCTTTTACATGCAAGTAAATCTATGAACATGGGACAGCCGGCTTTACTTCCCCTCCGAAGGAAGGCGTACGAAGGATTTTTTCGCCCTTATAAATCCACGGCTTCGATTCGGGCTTGAACCCGCGAACTTGGGTACAACAGTCCGGTGCGCTAACCGTCACACCATCGCTTGCCGTTTACGTCGCCGCGATGGTGCGTCAGAAACTGATATTTTATAATTGGAGCGTGTTTGCCAGAATGATAATTGGGTATGAAAACTTTTTTTGTCAAGTGCTATAAATAAAGAATCCAGTTGTTTCATCCTTTTTTAAGGACTTTAATCATCTTCTAAACCATATCTGAGTTAGATGGGGTCAGCTTTTTCGGATCGCTTACCTTTCCGTTTTAGTTTTGACTGAATTTTACGGCTGTCAGCCTGACGTCAACCCCCAACTCGGAGAGCCAAACTTCGTGACTTCGCGTAGTTAGTGAAAACGGCTTGGCAACGCCGATATTGCGCTGGTGGCCTTTTCAGTAGAACCATCCCAGCATGCGCCTAGATGACCGAGGGAAACGACGAAAAAACCCGTTCAGGATAGCCGGCGTGGGGATCGAATCCGGGCCTCCCCATGGCGAAGTCAGCGCGCTACGCTCTCAACCACTTCGGTATTATGATCCTTAATAATAATAATAATAATAATAATAATAATAATAATAATAATAATAATAATAATAATAATAACAATAATAACGATTTACTTTAGTAGCTCCATTCTGGAAGTGTCCTATTCTGGGGCTAGTGTGTAAACGTAAAGTGTAAGAATGCGCAGGGCTGTCCTTGCCAGAACAAAAAGGATGGCCTCTGACACCGACATACGGGGCAGACCATTAGAGATAAACGCGTTTTGGAAATCCCATGTGTCGTAGGCGCGAGCTCGCGTGTTGTGTGGTGTTTTCTTCCAATCAACCTCCCTCAGCCCCATTCCCATCGCATTGCTATAAATCTAGAGTCCCGTGCCCTTCCCTTGCATCCCATCCCCCCTGGCGCGGTGGCGCTCGACGTGTTGGCGGGTCCTAACTGCATGCGGTGTTGGCGCGCGGCTCTGCGGCGGCGGCGGCGGCTGTCGTCGTCGTGGCGGCGGTGGTGGTGGCGATGGTGGTGGTGATGGCGGTGATGGCGGCCAGCGCGGCCCCCACACGGACGCGGGCGAGTCGCCCAGCCCCGCCGACGAGCTGAGCTCGTCGCTGGCGTCGCCCGGCTCCTCCCTGCACTCGCAGACCCCGTCCAAGGTGAGTGCGCCAGCTGCGGAGGCGGAGGCGGAGGCGGAGGGCGCGGCGCGGGCCGGAGTAGTGCAAGCGCGGGACGCGGCTTGCGTTAGATTGATTGCGTGCGGCGACAATTAGAATCAGCGTAAGTTTTCTTCAGCTCCAGAATCCTCTCCACACCCCTTTTACTAAACGTAGTTAGATAACGGACAAATGTACCGGCAAAGCGTGGTTAGCAAATTTTGCAAACGAGAAACAATTGTTCCCGAGTTATAGAGAACTTCTTTGCGTCGATAAACGAATTACAGCTTTGATTTTATAGTATTACTTATATCTACTCCCACTCCCGGCTCTACTCCTAGCACAACTGGCAAAAGGAGAGTTCAACGAAACGTTCGCTTAGTGAAGCGAGTTCAGGGCAGTTTTCGTTCTAACCTTTCACTTAGCTTTCGACCTAACCGTGATCGTTATTCCTTTCAGATACAAAGAAAGTTCCGAATGGAGACTCCGTTTACTAGAAAACACAAAACTAATGTTCAGTAATGAAACTTCAGATACGACTGCTCAAATATCTTTATTCACGTCGACGCGCGATGTTGGATCAGCGAACTCGTGTGATAAGTTTCGCAGTTTTTGTAACTTGTAGACCCACTGTTATTGTGTCTCCGAAAAATGATTCTTTGCTTTTCAATAATCGCAGTCTGATGATTGGTTCAAACGTTATGAGACCGGGAAATCCACGGTCGAAATATGACCCTTCTTCCTTCGCGCTGTCGGGTAAAAATGACATGAGAGATTCATAATTGGTTTAAAATGTTGGTAATTGGATTTAGTTATGACCCTTACTGGCTTGCGGCGCACCTTAAGTCAAAAATTTGAATTACTTCGCACAGTCAAAGGATTCCAGGTAATTTTGACATTGCTAGGAAAAGTCAAGGAATTGCCAGGGAAATGTTGTTTACGCGTTCCATGCTCTGTGTACGCAGTGTATAAAATGGAATTGCTACTCGACGGCGATGAGCGTGATTGGAAAATAGAGATAGGAGGAGAAGTAAATTTCGAATCATCTGGATAAGAGATTATACGTATATAAAATATAACACACTTGCCGTAAATATATGTACAGAATTTTTTAATCAGATCATAGAATTCTAAAAAACTGCGGTCTGAAAATGGAAATGTTAAAGAATGTTATGGAAAGTTATTGGAATAAGAAGAACATTAAGTATGGTCACTCCTACACCTTCATGATGGATGTGATAGGCATCTTAACAAGCGGGCCACGGAACGCGCGCAATCTTTCCTCCCTCTTCCTTGTCCTATCCTCACTAAATTCTTGCTTACTTCTCTACTGGGCGAGAGCTTAGAGCTTGTTTCGGCTGGAGCGGATCCCTGCTGGTGGGAGATACCTGAATGGGGAAAGTACACCCGTAAGATAACGTGTATTTCGGCGTCGTATCTCACCATTCAACTGGGGTATAACACTGCAACATTCCCTGATAAAGCATGCACTGCACTTACGGGACTAATGACCACATCAGTTCATGCGGCCGTAATCAGAAGTAATCAATCAAACGTGTAACTCTGGAAGACTCATTCCTGTCAATAAGAAAAATGTGTTTCTCCAATTTCTATTTCGCACCGATGGTTGCGCGTCCGTACCCCGCGAGGAATGGCTGGCTGGGGCGATCACCAGTGCGGGCAGCTCTACATTTTCTCCCCGCTTGGAGAACTGAGTAAGTCCCACAGTAGAAGCCGAAACCTTGTCCCGTCTGGTTGCGTGTGGTATGCACGTCTAATGCGGGTTGGTAGGTAAATAGTTGCGGAGGAATAAATGTAGGCTGTAATGTGAGTAAATTGTATAAAAGAATGCATTAAAAAATATTACACATTTTTACAATTGTGTTGTTTTTGTGGCTAGTTTTAAGAAAAAAGAAAGGTATAAGAAAAAATCTAGTATCGACTATAATCTAAGAAATTAAAAATACTAATGTTAAAAGTAAACTACATTTTTTTTAAATCGTCGTAAATCATGTTTAAACGTATGAAAACAGAAAATTACAAAGTATATGTTTTATCCGCTAAATGCTCCATTTGAAAAGTATATTAAATAATATATTTCCCTGTAATTGTTTCAGGACGCAAATACAATGTTACTTAACATTTGCACGAATCGCCGTGTTATAATGTTTTTTACATGCCATGTCCGAAAGAGATTCCCACACGTTTCTTTATGTTTTGCCCACTATTTCAATGAGATAGTTCGCACACGGAAAACACTTATGAGAAATCAGTTTCAAGCAGGGTGCGTTAAAAATATAATTCTTTATTTTTATTAAAAGACAGTACAAATACTTAGAGAAATCATACAACATCATACAAAGTCTAACAAGACCTTGGGATTAAAGCATGCAATGATGTATAAATATTTAAAGTCTGCTCTAAATGGATATATATGGAAGAAACACTAAATTACCTGATTTATTGGACTGTCCGAGTTTATTTCCAACGTTGCTTCCCTAAAGGCAATTCGTTCTGTAACATGATTTTATATGCTTCTAAAAATAATAGAAACGTGTAAAACAAATTGAATTTTCCTATATAAAGGAAATTTTATTCGTTCAATGATCGTCGGGAAGAGTTGTTGAGGTGTTGGAAACCAAGGGTGGGTGCAAAACAGAGAGTATGGGAAGAGTGATTGAGATCCTGACAAGTATTCCTTAGTTGCGAATGAGAATGCTCAATCGAAGTAGGGTGAAAGAACAGGAAGGAGATTATATGCTAATATACCTATGTCTCAAATGTTCTGCTAACAATCCAAGTGTTTTTAACCAAATTTGAATTAACATGAAATGTGTTTTTTTTAATTTGACTTCAAATCATTTAGTCGTGATTCGCTGTCCTGGAATCTGAGAAATCGCTCGTGTCGACGACCCATTTATGAGCACTTTCCCTCGAGTTTAGAGCAAGTGGACACAATACATGTATAAGTGTCTCTAGTGACCAAAATCCAAGCAAATGGCAAAAATCGAGTCCGCTTAAGTTGTGCCAGTTTAAATTTAGTCGACAATAACAAACTAATGCTTTCACCCTCCTTCGTTGGTTCATCCATTACCTACTTCACACAGTGCGATTTTTCATCTAGATCGTGTGTGCGTAACTGCACTGCTCATACACGCAAAACGAGAAACCAGAATTATATATTTTATTAAGATGTCATAATAAATATTTGAAAAAAAAAATCTTCGCGTTTTGTGGATATACTACGTATTGATAAAGTTTCGCGTATCTCTTGAAGTTCATATTACGAGGATTTTCAGACTATCGGCACATGCGCGCATATTTACTTCAGTTTTGTTTTCGTTTCGTTTCAGTATGTGGGTGTGAGAGTTCAAACATTCTGCACCTTTTCCACTGACCATTTTCTGCCAAATATTTTTAAATTATTTCGTTAACTGGTATATTGATAATGCGTTACTAGAAAATGACCGCCAAGAAATAGATTTTGGTACCTCCCCCCCCCCCAGTAAAATCAAACTCCACAGAAATTTTTGAATATTTGTTGCACCATCGTAATTATTATTTCTGTTATCCAACAAATTGTTTCTGCTGAGACAGTCTTGTTACATACTTTCTTTTGCTTCCATCATTACTCGCAAAATGTAGTTGCCGAGCTCAGGAAGTTGTGAGGTCATTAACGTCTAAAGAGCATGTTCCATATGTAGATGTTAACAAATATCGCCGTTACTTATGACTTTAAGTTATTCAGACTATTTCAATTCCAACAAAGTTATTTATCCAAGAAATGAAATTACTAGTTTCATGTAGAGTACGTGATTATGTTCCTTGTCAAAAAATATTTTGGTTTTAAGAAAACGTGTATGTTTCTTAGGGTTAGCCGTTTCTTTAGGTCTTGCTTTTGACGTCTGTCTCGAGTGTTGTGTTGCGCTACGATAAAACCTAAAGGATCCACTTGCGCTCTTCAGAATAGGCTAATTTGAGCGAAAGAAATAATTGTGCCTCTCGTACCAAATGGGGGTTCGGTCGCTCGCAAACGATCTGGATAGAAAAGCCGTCCCGTGTGAAGTGCCTCCCCTGAGCGAGATCCTCTCCTCAAGAAATGCATCGCAAGGCAACGCAACGCAACGCAGCGCACAGCACCGACCGAGGCAGCCTTCCAAACGCTATGCGCACCGCATCTACGTAGGTACCCCCCCCCTCCGGGCTTTTTGGCGCGGGCCAACGCGCAAGTCCCGCAAACGCCCATCGCTGGCTCGGCCTCCGGCATCGCAAGCGAGCGGGTGGGGGGGCCCCTTCCCCCGCGCAGGACACGACGCCGGGCTCGAGGACTTCAGCACGGGACCGCGCGCAGGGCGGCGCGGGCGGCGGGGCGCGGCGGCCGCGCGGAACACCGTGCTCCAGGACAGCTCCGCCGAGCGCCGCGGAGAGCGGGAGCGGGAGCGGAGGCGCGGAGGCACGGCGGTCGTACCTGGCGGCGCGGCGCGGCCCGCCCGGGCCACGCGGTTGGAGCAGCCCGTCCCCCTCCGCCCTTCTCCTTCGCTCGGGGCCGGTTGGCGGATCCAAGGCCTTCGGAGAGCGTCCGTTTGTGGCTTCCCACTGAGGCGCGGAATCGACGTGCCCTCAGATCGAGTGAGGCTCGCAGTGCGTATCAGCCTCTCGGCCGTCGCATATTGAGGTCTTCCTGAAGAAAGACGCGGCCGCAAAGAGTCTGCTCCCTCCCTTGCCGGAGAAAGAATGCAGCCACCTGTTTTACCCTCGAAGGGTCTCCACAAGCATTTTCTTTCCAAATCAATTGCATAATAATAATAATAATAATAATAATAGTAATAATAATAGTAATAATAATAGTAATAATAATAGTAATAATAATAGTAATAATAATAGTTAATCCTGCCATCAGGTGTCATGTCAATATTCAACAGGAATATACTTTTTTTTTAAATAAGAGAATTGCTATTCTTCCCCCTCTGGATCTGCTACCGCCATGATACACTCTGCCTTCT